GAAAAGCCTCTAAGGCCTAAGCTCAAAGGTAATGATATTTGACTTCCAGTTGTGTTAATGTGATTTATCCAAAGGATTATAAAATTTGGAATGTCAGCCCTTTTTACCTTGAGCCCCGACTCTAACTGATTAGCTGCTGACAAGTTGAGCCTCGGTGTCCTCATCTTCATAATGGCCATTGTAGCAGATGCTGAAGGCATGACATGGGGTACCATGTATTAAACACAAATGCCCACTGTGGTACTCTGCTGCTGTCTCAAAGTGTCTATGTGTCAAAACAAATACAAAGGAGACCTGTGTGCTAAACAGTTGTTCTCTGCAAGGAGTGGGACCGGATTGGGGCTGCATGGAGTTCAGTCAGATCCAGAGATGCAAACTTATGGGCCAGGCAGAACAGTATGGCAGAGGAAGGGGGCACAGCAGGGCATTCTGAGAGTTAAGATTTGGGGGTCTTTGAGTGGGAAAGGGGCTGAGACACTGGGGGAGGGGGATGGAGAGGGATGTAAAAAGAATGAAGATGTATCACATATATGTACCAGCTCCCCATGAGGAATGAAATTATGTACTGCAAACATGTATTAATAAAAATGAAACTTTAAAAGTAAAAAGCAAAAACCAAAAACCAGAAGCGGAACTAATTTAGGTGGGAGTGTATTGAAGTCAAGAACACTAGCACTAAAATCAGCTGGCGAGGGTTTGAATTCTGGCTCTTGTTCTAGCTTTATGGCCTGGGACATATCTCACATGTCACTGCCTCAGTTTCTGCGTTTGTCACTGGGAGGATTGGTGTAACACATGTAAAACATTCAGCACAACTCCTGGCCCAGAGAGTAAACTTTGAACAACTGTTCATTTTATTTGTGTCCTAGCACTGGCTGCGTTTGAAATCTGAGAGTTTCATCCTGCGGGAGGTGAAGGGGAATCAGCTTCTACCTATGAAAACAGCTATTAAGACAGGAGCCAAGCAGTTTTTTAAATTTTTTTTATTTTTCATTTTTACTTTTTGTACCACGGATCGAACTCAGGACCTTCTACTTGCAAGGCAGGCATTGGAACTACTGAACTAAATCCCCAGCTGGAGCCAAGCAGATTTAGAACAGTCAGCGTTATGAACTGATTGCAGCTGCCTTGGCCTGGCCTAGGTGTGCAACCACAGTACGCTGCCTTATTCGTTGGCCCAGAGGTAGACACACTAGAGGCAGCCCTGCACAGCTGTGCTCTCTCCCGGGGTTAGGGCACACACCAGGCGGGAGATCATGCTGTACCCTGAGTCTCCTCAGCACACAGATTCCAGCGGGCCAATGTGGAGTGATCTCCCGAGAGGGAAGAAGCCTTTATTTCTACTTGGGATTGCCTGGGGGCGGGGGTCACAGCAGTGATAGCAAACCTTTTATTTTTATTTATTGGTACTGAGGATCGAACTCAGGACCTTGTGCTTGTGAGGCAGGCAGTGGAACCACTGAGCTAAATCCCTGCCCTGGCAAACCTTTATTTTTATTTATTGGTACTGAGGATCGAACTCAGGACCTTGTGCTTGTGAGGCAGGCAGTGGAACCACTGAGCTAAATCCCTGCCCTATGGCAAACCTTTTAGAGCTTTCAGTTATAACAAACATCCCGTTGTAGCATTCATGCTGTAGGTTCGCCACCTCTGACATAGAGGGGAGCCCAGCACGGAATGAGGGTCACCAATACAAGCTTTCATATTCATCTCAACTGGGTGGCTTTTTCTTGATTGGGTGAGAGCCATATAGATTGTAATTTTTTAGTTAACTTTTTAATGGTACGCCAGCTTTGTTGAGTAGATTAAGGTCACTGTTAACTTTGTTGCACCTTCTTGGCTGTTCTTGGCATGTATAGGACGTGAGGGAGCCGTGTGAGGTATAAATTGGAGCAGCTGAGACTCATCAGCTGAAGAAGCCTTATCTCACTTGGTCCAATTAGTTGGCTTGACCCTCCCAACAAGCACAGGGCTGGTCCAAGGTCTTGTGGCCAGCGAGCAAGTGGTGGGCAGAGTTCCATTCTAGACCTCCTCCTCTACCATGATGCCGGTTTGCCTCCCTAAGCCTCGATTTGGGAGATGTTTTCTGAAAGCTTTTAATGAAGCTTACATAATCCTGCTGTCGAGATTTCAGGACTAGCCCGGGCCTTGCAGTTGTCCCACAGAGTTCCCTCATTTTACGCGTGCAAACTGAGGCCCGGAAGGCAGACACTGGGCAGCTCCCAGGCCTGATTCAAAAGCACCACCTTCCCGTGATTTCTATCAGAAGCGGATTAAAGAAAATGAACTTCGGTGTGTGCCTGAAATGGCTTATTTCGGGGAGGGGCAGGGTGAGCCAGAGAGCAGCTCGACTTACTCCCCTCCTACCAAGAACACTGAGGATTCCATTGCAGTAGGCAAACATGCGAGTTTAAAGGCTGATTATTGTCCTGCCCCTTTCCAAGCCTGCAAGTTAGTTTTTCTCCTTTCCACAGAGAGTTACATCTTCCATTTGCATGGCTCGAATGGTCCATGTGCTTCTGCAGTAGGCATTATTTCCGCAAGGAAATGATTGCGAATGCTACTTTTTTAGTTTTCAACTTTTACTATCAGTTTACAGACAAAGCATTAGAACCTTGTAGTTTGAAAACAGACAAGGAAATAATATGCTGTGCTGTCTGGGTGTGGTCGCACGCACGCTGAGGCAGGACTACCATGAATTTGAGGCCAGCCTGGGCTACACAGTGAGTTCAAAAGAAGGGAGAGAAAAAGAAAGAAAAAGGAAAAAAAAATTAAGTTGAAGGGAGGGCAGGAGAATGGGGAAAAAATAAGAACCAAGATATATCTTGTAAAGGTACAAGATCCCAATGATGACTGTAACTGTATTGTATACCAAAAATGTACCAATAAAAGAATTTAAGGGCTGGGGATCTAGCTCAGTGGTTCCTGCTCCTGCTTCACAAGTACAAGGACCAGAGTTTTGATCACCGGTACCAAAAAAAAAAAAAAAAAAAAAAAAAAAAAAAAGGAAGGAAAAGAAAAAAGGAAAAGCCATGTTGGAGCGAGGATCAGAGAGCAAGGGGAAGTGAAGTGGTAGGAGGGGATGAAGCAAGCTGGGAGCTGAGGGAATTCCTGTGTCAGGATTTTGGAGGGGTCAAAGCAGGGTTTACATGTGTTAATTATAGAGAGCCCCACGCTGAGGCGGAGGAGCAGAGTTCTTAGGGACACAAATCTGGATCAGACTACCAGGGTTGAAATAGTTCTACAGCTTAAACTTGAACAGATTGCTTAAACGTGTCTTGGTTTTCCCATTCAAAAATGGGACTAGTGATCGTTTGTTTATCTGACAGGGTTATTCTAGAGATGAAATGAGCTAAAATGTATAAAGTGCCTAGAGGAGCAATGGGAGCAGAAAAGTCCTGAACATTGTTTATGATGCAGCTGCTGCTGATGAAAAACAGAGCTAAAAACTTGCAGTTACTAGAGATTGGAAAGAGGAGGTAGTCGTTTGAGAAAGTTCATTTTTTCATCTTGTAAAATGAGAGGTTAGTAAACACTTTAAAATTGACAAGTGAGGAAATAGAGGCAGAGCTGTATTTATAGTGATGGAGGCAATCCATAGAATTAAAAATAGGTCTAGGTAAGTGTGGTCATCTCTGGGGAATGAAGCTCTGGGAGGGGAGCCTTTCTATCTTGAGGTTTTTATTACCGTAAACACGTATAACTTTTATTTTTTTGCCTACTTTCTTGAGGTGTAGTTAACAAGCAGGAACCTTCATGTATTTAAAGTATACAAGCTGGGTAAATTTTCACATATGTACATACTCAGGCACCCATCACCACAGTTAAGGCACACATCAGCACCCTCTCTCCTTTCCCCAAAGCCAGATTGAACCTTGTTATTAAATAGCATTACATTTCAGTACTTAGGGGCTTTAATTCTTGAGGTACAGTGTCACTTCATCTCAAATACCTTTTTGATTGCATAATGAAATGGCTGTATTTTTTGTAGTCTTCGTATTCATGTGATCTTTATATCCCTCCTGAGTAAAACCATAAAGCTAATTAAGAACTAATGGTGATTGTCTTTTTTGATGATGTGTTTTTCATAAAACACCCAGTAGTTAGATGCTAGGATTGCCGACTTTGCAGTGGGGCAGAAACAATTAAAATCCTCCCCAGGCAGTTAAAAAACTGTTTGCTTTTCAAAATTTCCATCCACTTGCAGGCTGTTTGATCTGACCAGGGCTTTCTGAGTGTGTAGGCTTCATGTTCAATTAGGCTTCACAGGCCACAGCACAGGGGTAATGGTGCTGGAATCAGTGTCGCAGTTGAATAAAGCAGGTCTTCCACTTGCCTCAGGGACCAGTCCCTATTTCCTGTCCAGAGCTTCCTTTAGCCTTCTGTGTCCACTGGCCCTGGGCCAGGGAGTAGCACTGTGTTCACGGTGGTGTGGCTGCTTGCAGTCCCAAGTATGACTGGAAATACAATTCCAGTGAAATTCGGGTTAAGCTTCATGATCTTCTCAGTTTTATGATACTGTTGGTTAACACTAACTGAATGGTGCTGTGGGTCCAGTGTGGGGTTTCTGTGGTTTTTGTTTTGTTTTTGTAGGAGGATTTGGAACCATAACTGCCTTTTTTTATATCTTTGTTTCTGTGTAGAAAAGGCATTCGGTATTGTAAACAGAAGCACAAAGGAACTCTTCAAACAGCCTGTTCAGGATAGCTTGTAAACAGCACCTGACAGAGGGGTTGTGTCTAAAATAACATAGTTTGTCCTAGCCTAAGTATGATGCATTTCTCCAAATCATGGACTTCCCTGAAAATCACAGGACACTTGTGTTAGGATTGATTTTATATCGAATGAAACTTTGAGGACAAATCTGTTAGGATTGATCTTGTTGGTTTTATTAGAGGATTATGATGTTTCTTAGGAATGGGCTATTGAAATTAACGGCATCTTTCACAGGTCAATAGTAACATGTCCATGATGATGATGTTCTGTATTTTAACTAACAGGTTTTCAGGAGGCCTGATATAAGGGTAAGGATATTTGGCTTTCAGCAGATGGACCTCCTACTTGTGTGTGTCTGTGCTTTATGAAACAGTCTATTTAGTGTTCTTTACCTTCTCACTGATTTTTACGAGTCACTCAGGTCAATTTGCTCTGCTGTATCATAGCTTTAAGTGTTCACTAGAAGCGCTTTATTTGTTACAATGTTTTCATGTGCAGTAAAAGCCAATGTGCGTGAGGGCAGGATGCTAAATTTGTTATGAGTGTGCGCTGCTGACTTTCCTTGTACCACATGACTCCTGCCCAAATGAGTTCTAAGTCTAGGCCTGCAGAGGCCTCTTTTAACCTAGCTTGCCTTGTGATTCATGCAGAAGAATTTAGCAACCACAAAAAGTTCTCAGTTGTCCATCCTATCTAAGATTGAGTCACATTTGTGTTTGCATGTTTGATACAAAAAGCAGAAGTTGTAATCTTGAAAAAAATTAAAATCAGCCCCACTGTTTTTGTAAATACTGAGATAGTGGACTATAGCTTATATTTTCCCTCCCTTTATTTCAGAATATTCATAAAGCAAGACAAAGATTGGTAATATGCATGCATTTCACTCTTAGTATGGACATGGAAAATTAACCTGTTTTCATTAGATGAAAACAATGGATTTTGATAGTATACTTTAATGACTTCAATTTAAAAATTTTAATCTTATGGAAGCCAATGAATAGTACAAAAATAACCAACTTAAGTCAAATTCTTGTTTTTTTACTTGGTTTACCTTTTACTCTTGTTTCACCACGTTTTCTTTTGCCTGTGGTAATCATTTTTTCATTGATTCACATTGTTTGGCTTTATACTTGCATGGATTTTGAAATGTATTTTTGTATATTCATTTTTCTGTTTTAAACATTTTAGTCAATGATTCCATTTGTTTGCCTTGTATTTAAAAATGTAATTTAAAAACTGCATCTAAAATTGCACTGCCTTGAAAGCTATCCAAACTATGCTAAATTGAAAGTGATGATAAAGTAAAAAAAAAGTGCCAAGTAGTTATTGTACTTTATAGACAAAAATGAAAGTTGTGAAACAGTAAATTCCTTTAAAGTTTTGCTTCTTCATTAGTTGCCTTTTAAAGAAATGCAGTCATTGGAACCAAAGTTTTGTGAAATAAAAATATATGCTAAATTTTAATACTTTTAGCCTCGTAATTGATACAACCTTGAGAAGGTATTATAATTTGAAATCTTCAATATTCATATTTGTACTACCTGCTGAACTAAAAGTCTAGTTTTTAGAGTTTCCAAAAATAATTGATTCTGTGAAGAAATTAAGAATTAAGAAATTGGGGCCGGGGATTTAGCTCAGTGGTTTTGCCTCTTGCTCTGCAAGCACAAGAGCCTGAGTTCGATCCCCGGTACCAAAAAAAAAAAGAATTAAGAAATTAAGTGTACTTTTAAAGAGATTGGTAAAACTTAAAGGATGTATGAATGTTTAGTGCTTTGTGAAGCATGTGTCAGTACTGTGGTTAAAATATTTAATATACTGATTTGTAAATCATAGTACTTAGCAATAAGAAAGATTCGCATGTATATGTATATGTAAAATCTGCAGTGTGTGAGATGTGCACGCATGCAGTAGAACTGACCCTGGGCAACATCATGGTCCCTCAGAGTATATGAGTACTTACTGTGTCTAACATACATGTCTGCGAACTGCTTTTGTATTTCGGCTTGACTTTGTCCTTTACCTGATTTCTATGGTTTGCTTTATTTTCTATGAACACAAGAATTGCCTGTCATTTTGTTTCTTTGCTATATGCTATAATGTTGCTTGATTGTAAAAAGACGGTGCATTATTTGAAACTCATGTTTGTTTGCTTTTCATTTTTCTACCCCAACACAAACACTGAATAGATACTCCATTTTAGACTGAGGATGCTATAGATGGCCTACACATTATTTCCTTAACTCCAAGGGGGCAAAGGTGATTTTCAAAGCTGTGAAAAGTGTGTCGACTTTTACATGCTTACTGTCTCTTTACAAAAGAAATTCTGTCCTTTCACCTGTCTGTTTGCACGTATTTCTTTCTCCTCTCTGCCTTTTCTTGTCCATGCACCTGGTGCTGTGCAGGCGATACAGGAGGAACACAATGGCTACCCTTCTGAAGCTGAAGCTGATCAGGTGGCAAGTTCTACATGTTCATCTGTTTGTAGCTGCAGATTGTGTATCTAGAAGCCATTTCATACTAGATCTCTAGATGATAAGCAAAGTTTGCCAGATGCTTTGACCACTACAGTAGTGCTCTCTTGTTCAAATCTAGTAGATTCCATTATGACATTATTTGCAAAAATTGGTTTATCCAACATATTATCAACTAGAAATGTGTTCCTCTGGGCTCCTTGGTTTCCCCCAATAGAGTTATAGATGAGGTTGGTGACCCTCCAGCACCGTGGAATTCTAACGTACCTTACACATGTGTCAGGGGTACTCCCTGAGAGCGTGAACTTTGTTTATTCAGATATGTATGGTCAGTGCTCAGCATAGTACCCGGTGCTTTATAATTATTTGTGGAATGAATCCATGTGTTTTATATTTATTAATCTGACCAAAAAATCATTCCTATCTTATCGTGCACTCTTTACTCAGTCCCTCTGGATTCTCTGTGGAGTCCCAAAGCCACAGTGCTTTCTTTCCCTTCTGCTGGTAGGAAAATTTAAGAGGCAAGCAGCTCCAGGGATTCATGGCAAGCCCCAGGCGCTCAGTTATGCCTTTGTCCTTATCATCCAGCCCTGCCTCCATTGGTGAGCCCAAGAAAGCACAATTTGCAAACCACTGCTTTGGGCATGTAGCTGTTATATATACTGCCCATCTAGAAGCTTTCCTGCAGGCTGAGGATGAAAGTAAAGAGAGGCCAGAGTCACCTGGATGGGCTTAAGCGCTCAGGGACAAAGTCACGGGGCTGCAGACCTCAGCTGGACTTGCAGGATCACAGGAACAAATTTAAGATGAGATCTTCAGAGGGAATTCCCCAGTTGGACAACATATGGGACAAAAGGCATCAAGAGGAAAAGGGTGTGTTGATGAGATCGAATTTATTCTATCCTTTGAATGTGCTGGATAAATCAAGGGTCAAATCATGTCCTGTGCAACCTGGTAGTTGCAGTAAAAGCTTAATATAAGTGTAAGTTTTATCTCCTGACACCAGCTTTATAAAGGAAATCTACTATATTCACCATGCCCCAAAGCCTTTAGAAACTTCTTTTGAGTTCCTATGCTCAAGCTAAATGGGTTCCTTTCCCAAATGAACCTCCCTCCTATGGGGAAATCTGAAACAATGGGGTTATTTCTTTTATTCTGATTGTTGTTTTTTTTCATCATTTATGCAAGCATGTCCCAGATTTTTTTCCCCACAAGCAAGGGGTTTGTCTCAGTATGTCTCTCCAGCACAGTCATGTTGTTTTGTGCATGTAAATGCACAGATGTATCCTGCCATACTTGATAGGACTGTGGGAAGAGAAGAGAAACACTTGATCCTCAGCCTGGATCTTCAGAGCCTTATGCATTCTCAAAATGGTCCCAGTCACTGCTGTCTCCTACTTGTAACATTTCATTCACTGGTCCTGGGTTTAGGACTTTAAAGTGTTCCATGGGGCTTGCTGGTTTAATGAGAATCTTACTTAGCTCAAGATTCTGTTGATTAGAACAACTTGCTTTCTTAAATGTGTTTGAAAATAATCTATCCCCATTTATTTTTAAATATAAGTTAAAGATGAATTTAGCTTGGGATACATAGTGAGTTCAAGGCCAGCCTGAACTACACAGAGGGGAAAAAAGAATTTAGGTCTCTATATAGCATATACCATATGATATATAATGTTTGGCCATGAAAATCTGCTTCAACAGTGGAACATTTGAAGTAACTTAAAACTCTGACATGAATTAAAGCAGCTTTCTTACTTTGTAACTAGCTGTAATTAGTCACTAATTTAGACAATAAAGTAGACTTTCAAATTAAGGCTTCTGTTAAGATTGGTGATCTTTTAGTGTTTCTAAAACCGGACCTTTAACAGTATATGTAGTATATTGGTTTATGCTTTATTGCATAACAGCTATATTTCCAAATCAGATGTGAGTATAAAAATGAATTTACAAATGGTTCTTTACATCCCCTTTAATGTGTTAATTCCTTTAAAGTTTTGGCTAAAAAAAGTCTTAACCAATCTGTAGTAAAAATCAAACTGAATAGGCTGGGCGTGGTGGCTCACGCCTGTAATCCCAGCACTGGGGAAGCTGAGGCAGGAGGATCGCTAGGAGTTCAAGACCAACCTGGACTACATAGTGAGTTCCAGGTCAGTCTCAACTACATAGTGAGACCCTGTCTCAAAAAACAAAAACAAAAACAAAAAAAATCAAACTGAATAAATTATTGGGAGGTAATAATAAATCCTGATATATATATTATGTTAAGCATACATCTTTTGATAAAGAGAAAGATGAACCATGTTGTTTTGTGCCCTCCCAGTAGAATAGATGTATCCTGATCAACATTTGACACTGAATTTACTATTTATATTTCGAAATTTTTCTTCATTGATTTTATAAAATTTGATGACGCTAATGTATACTATGTTTCTAAATTAATTTTTAAGTCCCTTTAATAAAACATCATGAAATATAGCTATGAAAAGTAATCACTTATTTTGATTTGGATCATAAAAGACACCCATATTCAAATATTTTGCTTTACAAAATGATACTGAATACTTAGTGCCATCAGCCTGTTTTTCCCTGAACATTAGTAGCCTCCTGGTGTTGACAGATATTCTTCAGAAAAGCAGGTATGAGACTTGCATTATACTCTAGCGCCCTCTTTCTGGTTCCATGTACGTTAACACACTAAAGACAGCTCACTTTAAAAACACAAAAACAAAAAGCCAGCCTAACTTACCAATTTAACTCAGAATTTCTCACACTTTTTTTAAAAAGAACTATTCACATCTCTTGAGAAATTAGGGAAACACAGCTTGGTAATTTCAGGGGTTTTGATCACCTTATTGTTATTCATGACGCATTATGTCAGACATGCCAAAGAGAAAGCGATTGGTTTCCTTGGTAGCATCTCACAGGGTAGCAGTACCTTGGAACAGTCCTGGAGTGCAGACTCAGTCCCTAGCTTTGCCATTCAATTACGCCAGTTTTGGACCTTTCCTGAGTTACCTGGCACTCTCCAATCAAGGATATAAGAGACTTGCTACTGGGCTGTAATGCCAGTCTGGTCATTTAGAAATGTGGGCACACAGTGCACCAGCTGTCCAAGGAGTCCTTCTCTTAGTATCACTATAGCCTGGAAACCTTGTAAGTCATTAGCAGTTTTTTTGGTGAGTGTGAAATTAGTGCAGAAGTGAATTGTCTTGAGAGCTGTCTGATGAGCATATTCTGGTCCACTGTAGAGACTGGAATAGGGGTTAGCATCCCTTACCTAAAATGCTTAGGCCCACAAGTATTTCAGACTTTGGCTTTTTCTTTTGGAATATTTACATGTACACAATGAAATATCTTGGGGATGGGACCCAAGTTGAAACATGAAACTATTTTTGTTTGGTCTACACCTTGTCTACACAGCCTGAAGGAAATTTTATACAGTGGTCTTAGTGTTCTCACTTCCACCCACCACATGAGATCAGGTACAGAAATTTCCACTGTGGCATCATGTCAGTGCTCAAAAGGTTTTTGATTTTTGGAGCATTTCAGATTGGGGATTTGGGGACTAGGGATGCTCAGCCTACTCTTGTCTGCCGGATGAGAGCATATTCTCATGGCCGGGATTGGCTAAACAGTGACAGTCCCACTCTCCATGTTCCCTAGCATTTTGTGTGTCTGCACACGAGGGGCTGGGCTGCAGTATGTGAGCTAGGATGTTCCTTAGTTACTGTCCTTAGTCTATTGTCTGGTTATTTTCATTAGACTTGGGGATTTCCCAAACTGTCTCACAGGCTGGGTCATTTTTACAGTTAGCTAAGCACCTAAATCTGATGTTTTTATCTGTATTAGTTTCATGCTCAAAAGGTAACCTTTTTCTGACCTTTCTAAATTCTAGAGGCATCTTATAATAGCTATGTGTGTAGTGATTACAGTATCTGTCATGTCAAGCCATTTCTGTATTAATGCTTTTTAACTGTAAGATGTAAACATGTTGTAACCCTTTGCTAGAACATGCAGCATGATGTCCTGTGATGCTGAGCTTTGAAATATGTCTTTTAAGGGGTGGGGGTTACATTTTGCACGCTTCCATAGCCTTATATAGAGAATACAGAACACCAAAATCTTCTCAGGTATACAAATGGAATGAGAGATTTACTCCTGTTTGGTTTTCGGCAGGCTCTGAGGGATGGAAATAAGCTGGCACAGATGGAAGAAGCACCACTTTTTCCAGGAGAATCAATTAAAGCCATTGGTAAGTTTAATGTGTACACTTTGCATATCGAGATTCATAAAATGAAATGGTACTTTGTTCTTCAACATAGATGTTGTGTATGTTGCAGATCAGCCAGACCAATTTGGGGGCAGATAGACTAGGCTTAATTATTCTTACTAGTGTTTTCCTGGCCTTAAGAGATAGAAGACTGTAGAGGTTTCCTGGAGCTGCAGTTGGGTATGACATTACTTGCAGTTGAATATTACCAACTGAGGAGGGGCCTGAATTTCCTTCGTGAGCTAAGAACTGCCTAGACACTCAGTGTAATGTCAGTTCACTGCTTTGTTGGAATCTTTCATATGAGGAAAATGTATTGGCAGAAGACCACATCATATTTAAATAAGTTTTGACAACATGGCAAATAAATTTCTCTCTCTCTCTTTTTGTTTTTTTTTTTTTTTTTTGATACTGGGGATCGAACTCAGGACCTTGCACTTGCCAAGCAGGCGCCATCCCCAGCTCTGGCAAATAAATTTCAATGGCTTATATGATTAAAAAAAAAACTACGATTTTAGTACAAGCAGTGGACATGTGTTGCCATCCTGCATTTTAAAGGTGATGGCATGAGGGTTCCCATATCTCTTCATGGTGGGTTGGCACGCATTTCAGGAAGTGGTGGATGGTGCCATGGGTAGGTAGGAGGGGCAGCTCGGTGCCATGTTCTTATCTCATCAGTTGGTTAAGTTGACAATCTACTTTATTAGGCTATTTCCTTCTTCCTTTGTAACTCCCTCCCAAAGATGTATACTTGCTCTCAGAGTGTGGTCATCTTGTATCAAGAGCATTAGAGTCCTGGGCTCTCCTTCTGGAGCCTCCAAATAACTATTTGGGCTGAATATCCCACTCTGTGGCTCTGGACCTGTCCATTCCGGGCCCTGAAACTCTTTCCTTGGCTTCTGGGACCTGATTCTGTCCTAGTGCTTCTCTAGTGTCTCCGGCTGGTGCTCCTTTGGGTGTTCCAGCTCTGCCCCACATTGCCTTCCAGAGGATCTGTTTAAAATGCAGAGCAAAATATGTCATGACCCTGCTGCTCCTGCAGACACTAAACTACAAAGATTTCAGTACACAATGTGAAGAGGGTTTTGTCACTTTATCTCTATCTTTATCAGTAGGCCAAAGTCCACTTAGAAGTGATTACAGCTGATGTAGGTGATTGATCACTCTGTCCATCAGACTTTTGTTTTGAATTAGGAGGGAGTGTTATAAAAGCTTGGACTGTAAGTTCTCAGTTGTCTCAGCAGAAAGAGAAGGCTTTAGTGGAGCCAACTCTAGGCCTGGTGCATTTCCTCTCCTGTGTGACTGTGGAAGAGGGAAGCTCCTGCCTGGCCCCATTTCTCTCCCAGTCACTGTTTGATATCTTTCAGTTGTATGTTAAGGACATCTGCACATCCTTAATCCATCTAAGTGTGTTTTCAATTCCTCCAGTGGCTTGCAGAGGGTAAGTAAATTAACCCCTACTTTTAAATAAAGTATGTTCCTGGAGGCAAAGTATAAAAGTAGGTTATTGTAAAGTAAAGTGCTCCCCTGTGGAGTATCATTTCAGTTTGTCATTGTCAGAATATGAAGCTTTGACATAGGGTATACCTGGGAAGCCATCGTCACAGTTAAGGTAATGAACATAGCCATTACCCCTCAGCAGTTTCTTTATGCTCCTAGATAAACCCTCTATCCTGTGTATTCCCCTCATCGTCAAGCACTGCAAACTATAGTGTGTTAGTCGGATTTTCATTGATGTGACCAGATACCTGAAAAACAAAACTACTTAAAGGAGGAGGGTTTATTTTGATTCATGGTTTCAGTGCAGGGTCCATTGTTGCTCTTAGGCCTGTAGCAAGGCAGACTTCATGGTGGAGGGGCGTGGCAAAAGAAAGTTGCTGACCTCCTGGCAGCCAGAAGGTAGAGAGAGCAGGAAAAGAGCCAGTGTGTTGTGAGAGGAGGAGTGGGGATCAGCTCTACTCCTCAAGGTCATGGCCCATGGTCCGCTCCTGTCAACTAGCCCCACTGTTTCTATTGCCGCCCAGTAATGCCATCAAATTCTGATACCACAAAGCCCCAGGACCCAGTCACTTCCCAAGAGCCCATCAGCAACTGAGCCTTCAGCACAGTGAGCTGTTTGGAAATCCTGTCTTTCCAAACCCTAACAGTTAGTTTATATTTTCTAGTGTTTTATACAAATAAAATAATGTGTGTTCTTTTTTATCTAGCTTCTTCCAATCAAATAATTATTTTGATTTTTGTCCGTATTGTGGCATGAGTTAACAGTCACTCATTTCTGTTGCTGAAAGATATTTCCTTGTGTGGATACAGTTTATCTGTTCATCTGGTTTTGGATATTGGAGTTGTTTCGGCTGTTTAACTATTTTAAATAAAGCTGCTATGAGCATTTACATACAAGTGTTTGTGTGGACGTGTAATTTCCTTCTCTCTTGGGTGAATACCTAAGGAATGAAGGCCAGAGACATACGGTTAGGTGTACATTTGATCATTCTAATAGTGGTACTGGAGATTGAACCCAGGTCCTTTGCACTTAGCTATATCCCTACCCTTGGTTAATATTTGTTTTATATCAAGACAGGTTCTCAATAATTGCTAAGTTGCCCAGGTGGGACTCGAACTTGCAGTCCTCCTATCTTGAGCTTCCCACAGTACCAGGATTACAGGCATGCATCACTGTGCTGAGCAATGTTTCACTTTTTAAGAAACGACTAAATAAATCACTTTCCAGAATGGTCATACCATTACACATTCCAGGTTTTCTTTTCCAATTTAATGTTTCTATTTCTTTTTCTTTTTAACTGTTTGAATTTCCAATATAATATTAAAGAGAAGAGGTAAGAGTGAACATTCTAGTCTTGTTCCTGATGTTTGGAAAGCTTTCATATTTTTACCGTTAAGTATGTTACCTGTTTTGGGTGGATGTCCTTTATTATGTTGAGAAAGTTCCCTTCTATTTCTAGTTTGCAAAGCATTTTTTAAAAAATTAAAAACAGACACTAGATTTTTGTCAAATGCATTTTATCAATTAATGTAATCCTGTGATTTAAAAAATTTGTTTGTAATATCTAGTGGATTATATCAATTACTTTTTGACACTTCCATTGCCAGAATTAACTCTTCTTGTTTGTGATGAATTATCCTTTTTATGTGTTGTTATATTTGATTCATTAAATTTTTGTTTCAAAGATTTTCATCCATATTTATGACAGCTACCAGTCTGTAAGTTTTCTCGTAACGGCTTCCTCAGGTTTTGCTATCAGAACAATGCTGCTTCATAGAAGGGATTTGAAATTCTTTCTTATTCAGTTGTCTGGAAGAGTATTTCTTCCATAAGTGTTTGTTAGAAGCCAAGCCACCTGGACCTTCAGTTTTCTTAGTGGGAAGTTTTTAGCTGCAATGTCTTTAGAAGCTATGGATTGTTTAGCTTCTCTGTGTCTTCTTGTAAGTTTTGCTAGCTTGTCTAAGATTGCCTGTTAAATCTGAGTTGTCAAATTATTATTCCAAAGCCACCTATTGTATCCTCTTATTATTTATTTAATAGCTGTAGAATTTGTAGGGGCATCACTTTTCTCATTTTTGATATTGTAATGTGCATGTCTTCTCTCTTTTTTTCCCTTTATCAGTTTCGCTAAAGGTTTATCAATTAATCTTCTCAAAGAATCAGCTTTCAGTTTTATTACTTTGTTCTCCATTTCATTATTTCCCTCTGATCTTTATTGTTTCACATCATCTGGTTATTTGGGGTTTAATTCTTTTTTCTTGAGACAGAAGTTGTGGTCATTGATTGGAGACTTTTGTTCTTTTTCAATCTGGGCATTTAGATTTTCCTTGACATGCTATTTTAGCAGTATCTCACCAATTATGATGTGTTTTCATTTTTATTCAGTTCCAAATACTTTTGAATTCTCCTTTTGATTTCTTCTTTGATTTGGGGGGTACTTAGGAGTATGCTGTTTAATTTCCACATAGTTGTGAGTTTTTAAAACTTCTGTTATTGACTCTAATTTTATTCATGTTCATAAATCATACTCTTTGAATTGAGATGTGTTATATACCTGTACCAGTTTCCAAAAATGAATGTGATCATTGTCTACTTCAAACCTGTACTAATCAAAAAAATTTAAAAGAAATCATACTTTTTAATAACGTGAATATATTTATGAAGACTTGTATTATGCCCCAGAATATAGTCAATCTGTAAATGGTCTATGTACACTTGAAAAGAACGTGATAGTGTTGTTCAAGTCTTTTGTTGCCTTATTTTCTGTCCACTTTGATAACATTCATCATAAGAGAATTTGTATCTGTACATGATCTATCTTGCTGCTTCTTTCCCATCCCGCTCTTCACCCTTCTTCCCTTCTTTGTATGCAAATCTTTATTTCCATTTTTTCCTTCTCTTTTCTCTTGTCCCTTCCTTCCTTTTCCCCTTTTCCCTGCCTTGTTCCCTTTCTCATTTGAACATTTTCTTCCCATCTCCTAATATCTATTATACATTTTAGTCCCTATTTCCACTTTCAGTTTCTCACGCTAGAGAAACAATGTGGTATTTAAACATGTGTGTCTGATTTATTTCACTTAATAGCATGGTCTCAAGCGCATCCATTTAGCTAGAAATGTCTCAAGCTCATAGATATTATAGTTTTCTTTTAATTAGTATTAATTTGACATGCTTATATTCATCTTCTGAATTCCAAATTATTTTTGCTTATATATATTTTGTTTATTTGTTTGTTTGTTTGAGACAGGGTCTCACTATGTAGTTGAGACTGACCTGGATCTCACTACGTAGGCCAGGCGGTCTTGAACTCACAGCGATCCTCCTGCCTCAGCCTCCTGAGTGCTGGGATTACAGATGTGCACCACCACGCCCGGCTTTTGCTTTTATATTTAAAGTAGATTTCCTTTGTGCTATATATACTTGAGTCTTGATTTTGTCTTCAGTCTGATAAGGTCCGCCTTTTAATTGGGATGTTTAGATGATTTACATGTTACTGTATAAATATCAATATAATTAGATTTAAATTCATTGCTTTTATATTTCTTTCTCTCTTTTTTGTATTTGTCGTTTGTTATCTTTTTCCTCTTTTTTGTTGTCTTTTGGCTTAATTGAGAACTTTTAAAGATTCCATTATATCTTTTATGTTTATACCGTATAGTAGCTATAATTTCTTGGCTGGTTGCTTTATATCTTTAACTTTTCACAGGCCACCTTCAAGTGATTTTATGCTGCTTCATGTATAGGATAAGAACTTGACAACTGTACCCATTGTTACCTCCTAGGCTTTGCTGTTGTTATCCATTAACATTTACATTTTTCGTAAACCCCATAATATGTTGTTCTTATTTTCTTGTTATTACGTGTTTGAGACACATAATGAACACGCTCATTGTGGGGGCATTTGTATGTACTTATACACATTGAATCATCCTTTTTACTATCCCTTCTCCTCCTCTCTCTCTCCATCCCCAGATCCCCACCCCATCTGCATAAGGTCTGCCTCTCTATTATCATCTGTCTGTTATTTTGCTGTTTAAATTATTTATACTTTGGGTTTCTCATATAAGAGAAGTCCTACAATATTTAACCTTGTATGTATGATATATTTCATTTAGTATTATAGTCTCAAGATTCATCCATCTTCCTAAAAATTATTCAAATTTGTGCTTCTTTGTGGCTGAGCAGTACTCTGGTGATTCAGTACCACATTTTCTAGTACTGCATTGTGCATAAACACCACATTTCCTTTATCCATTCATCTGTTGATGGACATACAGGCCATTTTCAGTATTTAGCTATGGGTATTCATGTATCACTGTAATGTAATATCTTTAGCTTTTTGGGAAGATGCCTGGAAGAGGTATAGCTAAGTCGAATGGAATTTCTATTTGTAATTTTTTTTCAGCTTTAATTGAGTTTATTGGTACATTTTAGGTATACAGTACAGTTACATTCAGTTGTTGGGATCTTGTACCTCTACATGACAGGTCTTGATTCTCATTTTTTCCCCTTACCCCTGCCCTCCCTTCACCCCCTCCTCCCCTTCCCATCTACAAACACTTTATTTTCATCTTTTCATTATCTCACATTTTTTTTCTTTTCCATTATTACCCTTCCCCTACCCATCCCACCTTCCCTACACCTTTAGCTCCTTTCTTCCCATTTCTAAATGTCAGTAATCTTATTAGGATCTTATGTATTATTGCAGATTATTCACACTCTATTTGTAATTTTTTGAGGAATCTGTGTACTAATTTTCATAGTGGTTCATGGTTTTTATTTATAATCCGTTATCTTTTAAGGATAAGATACTAATAATGTTTAGTTTCCCACAAAAACTCTGGTTTTTTTGTGGTGGGGGGGTAGGTTGCCGGAGATCGAACTCAGGATCTTGTGCTTGCAAGTCAGCCAGTGGCACCACTGAGCTCAATCCCCAGCCCCAGAAACACATCTTAACAACTTGCTGTCTTTCTTCCCTCCTTCCCTCTCTTCTCTCCCACTCCCTCTCCACCTGCTTCCCTTCTGGGTTAGGTTGATCCTCTTCTGGGATTTATCACGTTGTGTCCACATTGCTTTATAGCATTTATCAGGCTGTGGTATAATGATGACTTTCAGGCTGCTTATGAGCAGGAACTATATCCAGTTATTCCCAGAATCCTGCAGTTATAGACACTCAGTTTGTAATGAGTGATAGAAATGTTTTGAGAATTTGGTCAAATGACAAACATTAGTACCTATTTCTCTCTTGGACTCAGCGGTAGCTATTGTATGTTCCTGTCATTCCAATGCACTGGCAATTTGGGAAAGTCATGAAGATGTGGGATCTTTATGATAGATACGAGCTTTCTTTTTCTTTTGCACTATTGAGGATTGAACCCAGGGCCTTTGCATTGAGCTATATTCCCAGCCCTTTCTATTTTAATATTTTACTTTGAGACAGGTTCTCAGTAAGTTGCTGAGTTGCCCAGGCTAGAGTGGAACTTGTGATCCTACTACCTTAGCCTCCTAGAGTGCTAGGATTACAGGTGTGTACCACCACACCTGGCTAGGATATGAGCTTTTTAATGCTCATGGAAATTAAAAATGTTGTGTATTTTATTGATAACAATACGAAAGTTAAAATTAATAAAAAAACTGATCAGTAATTTGAAACACATCTCCTTTTTTTTTTCCTGGTTCTGAACATAGAACCCAGGGCCTCATGCATGTGAGGCAAGTGCTCCACCACTAAGCCAAAGTCCCAGCCCTGAAACAAGTCTTTTTCTACTTTACTGATGTGGCTGCAATTTTTGTCAACTCGAAAGCAGTTTCCCTTGGAGGTACACTAGGGAACACTGTTTAGCTTTCATTAGTTTTAAGTAGCAGTAATTTATGAAATGGTAGCCTAGTGTCTTTAGAGTTTAATTAATGTTTTGAATGTGATTAATTTACCACCCAGGGAAAATGTTGACTGCTTAGGAAAAGAGACAAAATATAACTTATTATGAGGCCTTTACTTGAAACCTCATTAAGTAGCCAACAAGAGTGTTATTTTAAGTAATCAAACTCTATTAGCAGACTCTTTATCTGTATCTTTATTTAAAGTTCTATTAAATAAAATTCCTAGAAAACTGAATGATCTCTCTCTGTGTCACACACACACACACATTTGGAAACTCATGCTAAGATTTATTGAGTCACAAGTCTACAGCAGCAGTTACTACTTTGGGTTTTTTCTTTCAGTGAAAGATGTCATGTATATCTGCCCATTTATGGGAGCAGTGAGTGGAACCCTGACAGTGACGGACTTTAAGATGTACTTCAAAAATGTAGAGAGGGTGAGTGTTTTTAGTGTCTTATTTTAAAAAAATGATTTGTAACCAGTAAAAGAAGAAAGTAAATAGTCCCCTGAAATCCCATCACATAGACATAACCAAGGGGTGAGTTTTAATATGTCACATTTGCAAACAGATTTTCTGTCTTAATCAAAAGGTTTATTAGTTAAACCTGGAGAGGGAGGTTTTGTTATAGTCTCAACATAGACCACATAAGGTATGCTGTAAATCAAACTTCAGTTTCTTAGCTGGGACAAAGAGGAAGTGCTAATGTAAACAAACATGTTTCCTAGCCCAGCAAAGACTTAAAAGATGGAGGCTCTGTCGACTGATGTGGAGCGGCATTAATCTGAATTTTTAAACCTAGGACCCACACTTCGTCCTTGATGTTCCCCTTGGAGTGATCAGCAGAGTTGAGAAGATTGGAGCACAGAGCCATGGAGACAATTGTGGTATAGAGATTGTGTGCAAGGTAGCCTCCAAATCCAAGTAGAGCTAAAAAGTGGGTGATCGGCTTACAACTTTCTTTGACTCACCCTTCCCGGTCTTTGATAGGAATAACTTTAACTCTTCAGAATCCAGCTGTATTCAGGACAGCAGCTCCTTCAAATATCATAGCTACTAATTGAAACGGTCATAGAATCCCATAGAATCCTTTGATGTAATCCTTTTTTGTTGAAATATTTCTCTCTCTCTCTCTCTTTTTTT